ATGGCCACTGGAAGTCAGAGTTTCCTGGGGGATGCCAGCAATAGTGTATCAGGGGCTCAGGGGTCCAAACTGCTTACTAGAGCAATACACAGAGGAAACACCAGGTAAGGAAGTGGAGAGATGAAGGCAAAGATGTAAGGACATCCCATAGAAAGCAAGTGGGAGCTCTCCAAGATCTAGACCAGGAAGCAAAAGAGTGACCCCTGCAGGTGGCAGCTCCCCAGCCACTGTCCTCACAGAATGCTGCAGCCTCTGCAACCCCTCTCGCTCCTCTACCCCTGCCCAGAAATGCCAAGAAGCTGCCAGCTCTTTCCCACTATCTGGGCTGTAATGTTGTGGTGAAGGACAGAGAGAAATTGGTTCAGCAAGCCCTGCTCCTGAAATATGCAAATGCATATGCTTTTGCAATAGTAGTAGGTTATTGTGCAACTTGCTTCCTCATCTGCCCCTCACTCTGCTTCCCTGGCTTTGGTCTTCTCAGGACCTCGGATTCCTGAAAATCAATAAATCCCAGACACTGATGATGCTGCTGAACTCACAGGGATCAGTGAGATGCAGATGAGGTCATGCAGTGAGGGTGCTCTGCAAATTCTAAGGTGACATGTGTATAGTGGCAAGTTTCCAGAACCCAGGTTGGGGTGAGAGTCAGTGAGGCAACAAAGAAGAAAATTGTCCAAAGGAGTTCTTAAAAGACCAATGACTGGTGGCTCAGATTGCAGGGCAGCATAAATAGCCAGAGCCTGTGGGCCAGGGAAGCGCTCATTTGCCTGAAGACACTGAGCCCTCGAGGAAACAATGGTGAGTGTCAGTGCCGGCCTCTCATTTTGTTTTCTCTGTCCCCCTGCCCATTTGGGGTGCTCTAATGTACTGGTGTTGAGGAAGACAGGGTCTATGTAGCTCTTCTGGTCTGAGAGGTGTGGGTGTGGGCGTGGGTGTGGGCGTGAGCGGGCAGCATAGTGGGGGAAGAAGGACCATTCTTCTGCCCCTCACTCTGCTTCCTTTGCTCAGTGGGAGATTAGCCTTCTGGGCTGGGGGAGGGTGGGTGAGTGGGATATGACACCCACCCGGACCCCAGATGCCATTGTCAGGAAGCCTCAGGTGGGCATGCAATTTCAACTTCTCGCTTGGCTCTTTCCACCCCTGATTTCTTCAAAGGAAGGTGGTGGAGGGGAAACAGCCCAGGCCTTTCCAGGGCAGGGGCCAGAGGTGTGGGTGTGGGGGGGGGGGTGGGCATGAGTTGGCAGCATCGTGGGGAAAGAAGGACCATTCTTCTGCCCCTAACTCTGCTTCCTTTGCTCAGTGGGAGATTTGCCTTCTGGGCTGAGGGAAGGTGGGTGAGTGGGATGTGACAACCACCGGGACCCCAGATATCATTGTCAGGAAGCCTCAGGTGGGAATGCAATTTCAACTTCTCGCTTGGCTCTCTCCATGCCTGATTTCTTCAGAAAGGAAGGTGGTGGAGGAGAAACAGCCCAGGCATTCCCAGGCCCGGGTCAAAGTCCATCATGTTACCAACCGCCTGTTTTACATGGATAAACATGTTTTCCTCTTAGCTTCAAATCTTTGTTTTAAAAAGAGACCCACTAGACAAGTTTATTGATTTCCAATTAATTTTTAGAGGAGTCATTTTTCAATAAAACTTTAGTCTAAAATCGAGGCAGAAAAGGAACACTATATGGATTTAAGGGGATGTGACTCTGCCCAACACCTCTATAGGCCCAGCGAAGAGGTCTCATCCAAGTCCTAGGTCCCCAACCCTGTGAGGTGGCTCCTGCCCAGGGCCCTTTCCACTACAATAAGCTGTGGGTGCCCTCTGTGCCATCTTGAGCTGTTGGGTAAAATGCCTGTTCCTTTTCATTCTTCCCCAGATGTGGGCACAGGGCCCTTGAATTGTGGCAGCTGCACACCAGGGGGCAATGCCCTGGCACTGCCTGGAGCCTTCGGTGCTCCTGGCTGAGCCTCTGCCCCAGAAAGTGCCACACTGCTGGCCTGTGAGCTTGCCTGGTGTTTAGAGACTCCCATGATGCCCGAGAAAGTGGTAAATGAGAAAGAACCAGGGCCAACAGGGTCCACCGCAGCCCAGAACCACCAGCAGGTGGAGAAGAAAGCACTTCTGTGGCCAGGACGGCACTCCACTGCCTCCCCCTCAGGCTGCCTGGCGATCCCTTCTCCTTTGATCTGTCCCTCAGGCTTGTTCTCAGCCTCTGCAACTCCCTTGTATGCTTTCCTGGCTCCTAACTTTACAGTTTCTCTCAAGAGGAAAGAAGCCCACCATTGGGAGTGACCAGGTCCTGCACCCACCCTGACCTCACTTAGCTGCAGAGTCCCTCTCACATGTCACTGGACACCCTATTGAACATCCATTTTTTTCTCCACCTAAAGCCACCCTTTCCCTGATGGCGCTCAGCTCACATGCCCTCCTCCACGAGGCCCCTCTCCCAAGTCGTCCCAGGTGGAGGGGCAGCACTCTACGCATCCCAGGGTCTCCCCAGCTATTCTGAGAACTTTTTCTGGGTTCCATCTGGAAGTTTCTTCATGGAGACAGCGTCTAGTCCAGGAATGGCAGGCCACCTGGCAAACATGTAGCCATGTGCCCATCTTATGTTAGGACACATGTCACTGAGCATTCTGGCTCTTTCCAGACAAGCACCTGAACCGCCAGTGCTAGTCTGTTCAAAGCTATAAGTGACAGGAAATGGGTTTGCCCAGCCACCTTACTGATAGGGACAGAGAGAAGGGGGTTCAAAGAGAGGAATTGTCCTGCCAAAAGGCACTTCATGAATTTTTCCTGATGTGACAAGTGGCCTCTGTGAGGAGTTCACATCCTAGCCGTGCCGATGGCAGTGAAAGGGAAGTCACTAGAAGGGACAAAACGGGGCATCTGAGAGGAGGTAGATGTTGCTGATAACCATGTCAGAGTTCAGCTGGGTAACTCATGCCCTCCCAGGCCAGACCTTATGGCCGCCTTGTCCTAAGTTGC